GAGAATAGGATTGTTATGGAAGCTTTTAACCCATGTTGACATTTGACCCCCGACTAGCACTTAAAGTTGACATTTGACCTCATTACTGTAATAAAGAAAAAGATTTGCACTGCTGGTCTACGTAACATACTTAAGTATCATTACTCTAGTCAAAATGGTTCTTAGAATATTTGAACTTAATAGCACTCCATCCCAGGTACCTACTTGCCAAATATCTTAACCATAGGTACTTCAGTCCTTCTTCGGAAGTCGTTGAAAAGAAAAAGTTGACGGACGGACGCCGGACGCCGGACGACAGACGGACGACGGACGCCGCAGTACGGCATAAGCTCAGATGGCCATTCGGGCCAGGTGTGCTAAAAACAGACTGCAGCGGGAGATGGGTCCTTACAGGTAACGTTGACAGACGGACACACCGTAGAACACGTGTATATTCATATAAAGTGACATGTATTTTCATGCAAATATATATATAAATAATTCCTAGCTTGGTATTACTCATCCTCGATATCCAGGGGTTACGCTAACTTTCGCTCTCTGCAGAGAGCGAAAATGCAGAGAGCGAAAGTGAGCGTAACCCCTGGATATCGAGGATGAGTATTACTAAAAAAACAAAAACAAAATGAAAATACCAATTATTGAATTACACGCCATCTTTAATGTAAAAAGCAACATGTTAATTTAAATATCATAATGCAATATTTCACATCACAATTTCAGATGCAACAAAGTTCATAAAATTATGTAAATAAGGGATTTTGCATGTTATAGCGTACGACCTGACAATTTTCTCCCATACAATAGTCTATTGGTCTCAAAGGGATATGTAATAAATAAAATATTGTATTGGAGACTAGCTGATGGACCGGATCTCACATGTACCATCCGTATACATTGACAAACAATTAATGATTTACGAAACGAAATGAAAATACAAAATGTTACTGCCATTTTATACATTGTAATATTTATTATTAAACATTCCTAACTGAATCCTATAAAACGGTTAAATGTGAAGCTATGCTATTGTCATAATTTTTCAAAAAACAAAATCATGCATTTTCTAGACTAAAGAATACCGTGTTGTTGATAAGACACGAAAAAAGACACAAAAGTCATATTTTTGCAGACGACCTTTAAATAATCACATTTGAATATTAGACTTCCCTGACATTGAGCAAATTAGACATGAAAGAAAGGCCCGTGATCACGTCATTGTTTAACCATTACTGGTAGGATAATGTTTTTGTATAGTGGCGTCAGATCATCTGTTTGATTTTCAGTTTTTATATTAAAAAAGTATTTGATGTCTTAATGGTCCATTAGATTATTACAGTTATTACGATAGCCCGGGGCGGCCAGCGCTAATTGATCAGGATAAACTGGAGCAAGTTCATTTGTTATTAATTGAAAAGGTCTTTGGGCCAGTATTGGCAATTCTCTGGTTTCTTTTATTATAAATGTCATTCATATTTTTTCTATTGTTTTAAATGATTCTTACACCTAATAGTTTGCTTGGACAATTTGTGTTACCTTTAATCTTTATCGACGAAAAAGTACAAACAAATACAGTACCAACCCTCAAAAATGGCCACCGTCTTCAAGTGACTATAACTTGAACCCGTGGAATCCGGAAACGATTGGTCCCTACATGGAGTTCAGTTAGACCGGTTCCATGCTAGATCTACCCGGAGTTGTCGTTCCTTACACTCACTTACACCCGGAGTTGTCGTTCCTCACACTCACACCAAGAGTTGTCGTTCCTCACACTCACTTACACCTGGAGTTTTCGTTCCTTACAATCACTTAGACCCGGAGTTGCCGTTCTTAACACTCACTTACACCCGGAGTTGTCGTTCCTTACACTCACTTATACCCGGAGTTGTCGTTCCTTACACTCACTTACACCCGGAGTTGCCGTCCCTTACACTCACTTACACTCGGAGTTGTCGTTCCTTACACACACTATACCCGGAGTTGTCGTTCCTTACACACACTATACCCGGAGTTGTCGTTCCTTACACTCACTTACACCCGGAGTTGTCGTTCCTTACACTCACTTACACCTATGCCAACGGCTAAATGCTAAGAATCTTGACAATGGGATGAAAATCTGTTTTAGCTAAAGCGTCTTTCAGTAATGTTTTACACAATCAGTAAAACTTCATTTCTTCCAAATATGTCGCTGTTAGACAATTTTCAATACAAAACTCATGGATTGTATTTGGTAGCGCCATTGTGTAATAGTCTAACTCTATATGTTTCTACGTACGTCAAATTAACAAAGCCACGTTGTTAGCACATGTTGGATTTATAAAGAGCGTAAGTGAAGACAAAAAGATCGAAACATTGGAATAAACATGACAAAAAGTAATGTGCCGGTGAATTTACTTGATGATAGTTAGCAGTCAATCTGATCCGCCATATTGTACGGTTTGACGGCACATGACCAAGTGTCACATGATCAGAGACTAACTATAACGCAAATATCCTTTTAGCCGTTGACAGAAGTGTTAGTGAGTGTAATGAAGGAACGACAACTCTATGAAGAGTTGCTTTATACACGTGTAAATGTAAATGGAGTTTTTAATCATTCAAAAATGTGATTTATAGAAATGTGATCTTTACCCGTTTTGCTAAACATAAATTGAATTTCGATTTGATAATAAAAGAATTTTATACTTTCCATCAACTGAAAAGGACTACACGTGTCTTGTTCAAAGATCAATATAATAGTTATTATAAAGATATCGATAAGCCTCCGTTAACCCTTACACATCACACAAAGCAAGAATCGAAAAAAATGCCGGATTTATACAATTTGAAAGATATTTTTTATTATATACAATGGAGTAACGCGATTAAACTTTATGAAAAATATTTTGATAAGAATGCATATAATCACAGATATCGTTTACAGTAAGGCATGCGGTCGTCACATCCATAAGTCAACCACTTAGATAAAACTATCACATAAGGAGGATTATTAAATTGTGGGTAAGTAGCGGTAGCTTAGTAGTGTATAGGTAAGGAATACATTTTCAGAAAAAAAAAGAATTATTAAAAAGATACGTAATGGGCATTTTGTAGAATGTCGTTAATCCGGAGATAATTCCCCGCTATGACTTTAAACCTTTGGTTCCTACACATCATTTCCGGGAGCAGGTGTTCTGATTGCAGTTTTGAACTGGAAACTTTTTAGCGAGAAGATCATAGCTTTATCAGTTGATATAAAGGGAAGACATGTGCATGTAATAGCAACAATAAAGGGGAGGTACTGTTATACAAAAATTACATTGGAATTCCCCATTATTTTGTCGTGGAAGAACTTTAATGAGGTTTGTATTCGGCACTATCGTATATGCTGTAACCAGATGTGATATGAATGTGTATACAAACGTATGACAGTGTATCAGGGTTTCTTTACAAACTTGGAGCGGTGCTCAATTAGTCCAAACATGTTTCACAGTTAGTGTGTATGAAGAATCCTGCAATTAATTAATCTAAACCACAATATTATCATTTGTAGTTTTTTGAAAATGAATTTTTAAGGAAATATTTTATAATTTTCTCCATGAAAAATATGCATTTTTTCAGACAATAAAATATATTTACATTCTTGATGTTTGTTCTGTATATGAATCTACCAACTGAAAACAACTGCCATTAGACTATGAATACACTATGAATACAACGATTCTCGTGCAACCAGTCAGCTGATTTCACACACAATGACCACTTCATATTACTACGCATAGTACCGTTTCTGAGAATAGTTATCTCCACTTCTTCGAAATAGCGTTGTTGCGAGAAATGATAATAAATATTACAAAAATCATGAACGGTGCACCATTGCACTACTATTATTATTCTGTCTAATCTAAAACTAAAAAAAATACTTATAACATTGTCATATTAAATACTGACATCCGACTCTCAACCGGTTCCTCGTGGTCACGAACTTTCTAACACCCAGCTGGTCCCAAACGTCGGGCTGGGTAATCCCCGTGACATCAACTTGCAGACACAGGGCACTTAATCCACCAACTTATCATCATTTACATCTGCAGTTTTTTTGTTTAACAGTACATTTAACGGCTGTACATTTAACTTCAAATGAGCTCTATGCCTACTGCCGACGGGTGCTCGGCCAACGAGTGCCCTTGATGGTTACTATAGATGATTTGAAATAGTGTGGAAATAAACTATTTTATATATATATAATATGTGGTGTTTAATGCTAATAAAAATCAAATAAGATCATATTCAAAAAGGAAAAGATATCAAGTGTTGGTTATTATTAGATTCTAGATATATATTTTCGTTCCAACAAAATCAGCTGATCTGCGGAAGTCGAAGCTTGAGTTCTGGCTGTTCCTTTTATATGGTTTTCTGACCGATATTTTTATTAAAAACATTAGATTTACAAAAAGTGTTTTTATTGTACAGTTCATCGTAACGTAAACATGTACATTGCGTCAAAGAATAGCAGTAGCTGATATACATATCTTCTGAGGATATGTAGATAAGCTACTGCTAGTCATTGCCGCAATGTACATGATTTTTTTTCCATATAACAAGGTTATGACCTATTTTATAGACCTCCACACTTAAAAATGGAGAAATACCTGTCTTACTTCACTTTTTCAACCTAAATTCACCTACAAACACAATGGGAAAATATGAATGATGAAAAAGAATGTTGATAAAACGAATAACAGTCGACATGTGACTGTCCTCACGACTCTCACCTCCGAAAAGGTTTCTTTGGGCGAATATGTGTTTTACTTAATGACCTTACACTATTTTTAGCAACTTAGATATGTTTTAATATTTTTATAGATTTATCTTAATAACTTTACGTCAATTTAATTAATACGCCAGGAATTGCTGAAGGCATTGTGCGATAAGTACATGTACATAGTTTGCGTCATACACGTGGGTTGTGTGTAAGTGTATCGTTAACATAGCGGCAACACCAATTACAAGTTTTGTTAGTCTACGTGATATTGAATCTTTTCCTTCTGGGTTTGAATTTCAAAACACAAATTAACCTTCATATTTAAAGTTAAGATATTTTAGAACATGAATCAGCGATATCTATAACTGTAAAGAAAACAACAATGAGTATTTTAATTTTGCCTCAAGAATGAATTAACCAATCTTTGTGTACATGTCCTTCACTGTACGGGTCAGTTAGGGTCAGGGAATGTGTCGGATGAGATTTTAGTAGAATATTACATGCATAAGTAGGACAATGGAAAATATCAGCGGTTATTTGTATTGGTTTACACGATTCTACATACATTACTCTACGCTACACTCTAAGTCATCGTTGAAAAAATATAATCAGGTTAACACAAGACAAAATATACATTAAACAACAGAGAACATTAAACTTATCAATTGCACCTAAACTATTCAGTCTATTGTCTATTTTCGGAATGCAAGACCAGCTAACTATATCACCGACAAGACACAAGTACATTCACACGCTTTCCAGTGTAGGACCACGAATAGATTAGAATAGCATTGAGCAATCACATGAAATTTGATATTGAAACAAAAGTTTTGATTTTCATAAAATCCCAGTAAGTCTCGAACACAAATTTAAACTCGACTAGGTTCGTTTGTCCTTTTAATTAAATATAGTGTCAATTATATAACGTAATTGGAAACGAAGTCCATGACGAAACGAAAAAAAAGGTGTATATATTGCTATAGATAGCGTTCATAGCTTGTTGATTGAGAACTAGCCTGTCGGAGTAATACACCGACAGTAAGTTAGTACCGAGTTACCAGTCAGACATTAGTGCCACACAAATTGCATTCTTTTTTCACGTAAACCATTTGGACATATTCCTCGTTCTTACTATTGTTAGAACTACTATTAGAGCGCTTTCGTGCGCAATACTTGGAGTTTTGGTTCAAGTCAGAACAATGAGCCCAATTCAGCAGTTTTTTAAACGCTTGTCTAAACTCTCGATTGCAATATGCATAGATAATGGGGTTAAGACAGGAATTAAAATAGCCCACCCAGAAAAGGATTGTCCCTAACAACGGAGGGTATTGACATTTTTCTCTGCATAAACTCGTGATCAAATACCAGGAGAAAAAAGGGCAAAAACATAAAATAAACCCACCCATTATAATACCTAATGTCTTGGCTGCCTTGTGTTCTCGTTTTAGTCTCTTCCTTTCCGACATATCACGAGAACTCTTACTCCCGGGAATCAGCTGGTCGCCGTTGCTTGTTAGTTCAGTTGAACACACACTAGCAGATCGGATATATTTCTCTTGTTTTCTTGCCTCTTTGAAAATACGAAAATAAACGAACACCATGATTGTACATGGTACCCAGAAGGAGACTGATGACGACACAACTGCGTATATCCGGTTTACCACGAACTTACACGAGTCGGGATTAACACGAAGTTCCTGTAGATTTTCAACCGTCGTGTAAAATTGAGAATGGATGGGAATATACGATATCAAGAGAGAGGAAATCCACGTGACAGCAATCATCAAAGCTACTCTCCGTTTGGTGAGTTTAGTTTCATAGTGAAGGGGATTCATTATAGCAATATAACGATCCACGCTTATACAGCACAGATGTAAAATGGACGCCGTGCTAAACAAAACATCGTTTGAATTAAAAATGTCACACATAGTCCTGCCAAAGATCCATTTGTCGGTGATTTCCATGCTGGCGTTGAACGGCATGACGACAACAGCCACCAGGAGATCGGCAGCAGCCAGGGACAGGATGAAGTAATTAGTCACAGTGGCCCTTAATTTCTCGAATTTAATCACACTCATGATCACCAGGAAGTTACCCAGAACGGCACTCAACATCACCGCCACCATCACCGCCGTCTTGACAACGAGCAGGATCAACCCGTTTCCAAGATCGCCCTCGTGGGGCATCAGAGACCCGTTCATCGAGGTGTTGTGCATGTGAATGTCCATATCCATGCCACGTGTCCACACAACCCGTTCACACACGATAAGTGAGCGAGTCTGTTGTGGCTCATTAGAAAACACGTCAAATGTAGAATTGCACTTTAGTATTGCGAGTTCGCGATTGTCAAAGTGAAAGGTTTAACAAAACGTTTCCCTGCGGGGTCTTATCAAACTCCATAAAAAAAGCACTACTTATAGTGAATGTTATTAACTGAAATTTTGGAACGTCCTAAAATATTGCTCCCCAGCCATGCACAACACAGTTTTAGACTGAAGCGTCTGTCATGTGATCACTATATTCTATTACAGCCCTGTGTTATGGACCACAATGGTAAACCACGACCAATCACACCCGATAGTATCATGCATCATGTAACATCAGTACTAGGTCCCAGTATATACTCCGGGTAGCAGTGTAGAGGGATGATATCATCAGTAACATCATAGATTCTCACCTTACACACAGAAATGTCAAAAGACATTGACCTGACGCCGAGTCAGTTTTATCAGATCAGCACGCTCCCGCCCCGCTCCGACTCACGCTGGTAGTCACCGACCGTAACGAGGTTATCAAACTGCACAGAGCACGACGAGATTGAAATATATCTAAATATAACGCATAAACAGAATTACCAAGTCCAATTGGTCATTTCGTCCAAACTTATTTGTTGGAATGGGTAATCTGAAGTCAAACACATAAAATAGTAAGCGTTATACTAATCTTATAAATCTTTTTTTCTCACGCGTATTCACTGTGATTATAGCCGTAGAATCAAATTAATGTCCTCGAAAATGAGGATTTTTTTCTCATTTCCAAAACTGTCCTGCACTATCAGGTTTTAGACCTCAATGGAAATCTCCAAGGGGATTAATTCCTCAGTTCTATTCTATACAGAGGATCATTGTCCAGTATTATGCTAAACATATCGCACTGTAACACCCTATGTAGCCCTATGGTACCATATGTGGTCTTGTATCTAATTAGCAGTCTGGACATTTATACGGGTGTCCGAGTATGGCCTGAGTCTTTATATGACAGTCGCGTGAACGCTGGCCGTGACGTTTGACCACGTGCGGTTGTAATACATAAATATAGCCAATAAAATAAACACCTCTTCTTTGTTTGATGTCGCCATACCCACTGTAACCCTAAACATAGGCCATTAATACTGTTCTATACCGACGTCCTTCCTTTTGATGACTTCAAGGCGATAATAAAGTTATAAAGCTGGCCGGATAACGCCCGAGACTGCTCTCATTTGGCGACACTGCGGACTGACGATACACACAGCTGTATCAATCTCAGCTCTTAGCTTTCCATACGTATTAAAGCTAATAGTTGGCCGGGAGCTTGGCAATGGCCTTACCAAATAAAACCTACTGTCGCATAAATTGGACATGAAATATGTTTCATAATAATATTACCGGAAATAACTTAGTGTGTCATTTCAAATTATATCAGAGGGTCTTTAAGTACAACGCGAGATTTCGATGTACATGCGGGACGTTGACGTCTCTCTACTTACAGTAACAGCTGACCACAAGGAAGGTTCTCACGTGCACGGTCAATCGGTAACAGGCTCCTGATTCAAATTGCAATAGTCCTGCATCACACCTTTGATTAAACCTTTAATCATAACACGCTAAAACATTCACTGTCATCACCAGTCCGTATTCTTACAGAAAATTACACATCACCATCAATTTAAAACGCACAGTTGACACTTTTCGACTTCTTTAAAGCTGTGTTCGTATTAGCAATTAAATAATCCATGTGGTTTATTACTGAATCCGGTAATTTAACAAATCTTTTATCACATACTATTTAGAATGATGTTAGCTTAATTCCTTAAAGTAGACACAGATCCGTTTGGTGACATACGATGCACGTGCAGAAAATGATGGGTCAGCTCGTGCACTTGCTACATATGACCTTGGATGATCGGTCAATCGCACTGGTTCTCATTAGGTATGCATTGGCAGGTTACAATACCGCCTCCACTGATGGACCCGGAAACTGAGATTCCTTTGTTTTCTAATGATGTTGTCAGTAACAGAATAGCCAATCAGAGCAAACGACGAGTCGAAATAGCTCAATATCATTTCAAGTTTGTCCAGTTTTGTGCTCGATACAAACAAAAAGCTTGTTTATTCGAAATGTTTCCGCTATTGTGGGTAAAAACAGCTATCCATCATCCGGGATATCCCATACTGACTTCCGTGGATTGCGGTGTTAATGCTCTGAAGCTTTATATCTCTAGGAGGATTCGTGGCGTCGGTATAAGAGAGGGGGCACAAGCAATGAGACTTGTAATCACTTGTCCAAACTCCCAAAAGTATCGACAGTAGAAAATTGTTCTGTCACTCTGCAAATCCTGACAGTACGATTTCATCCGAAAACAAGCAGATACAACCTAGACCACTCCGGAGATATCCTAGGCCTTTATCCCTGTAACAAATTGAAATCTTCACACTGACACTTAACTCCGTTTTAGAACATATAGTCCTACATTAAGTTCAATTTCCCCCGAGGAAAAGTTTAGTAATCCTATTTTTCTCAACTGAGAAAATATTTGTATTTATTTGGAATTTTCAGAAAGCACTGAGATCGTTTTTAAAAATGAAGTTAATCCGTAACACAAATTTAAATGTTGTACTCTTTAAATGTTAAGGATGTTGTACTCTCTGTAACACACGTCTTTGTATTAAAACCGTGTACAACAACTCTAGACATTAAACCCTTTAACAAGTAACGATGGGCTTTCCGAGAGCAGTTCCGAGCGAGTTAAGCTGTTTACAAACTGTAAAATCCTCGATGGTCCACTAAACATGTCCACAAGTTAAGCAGCTCTCTGTTTTAACTGCATTAGGGATGCACGGACACGCCACGCCGTCGTACTATTATCACGGCCGATACGGTATCACTGCTACCCGGAGCCTATTGACACAAAATGCACGCTCTGTCACTTTCATTGCTTCATTTGGCATCCATCGATACGTCACGACTGTGTATCCTCTGATAGCGCGGGAAAACGGCTGCTGCTGTTGATCGTGGCTGCGGAGGCTGGGTGATTCATGAATCAGGTAGTAGCGGCAGAGGGAGATTGATTGACGGGTGCGTCCACTATCTACCTAATCTTCTCACCACCTGTATGTAGTGAAATTTGTTATACGGTAGAGACTCTTGAATTATGAAGATTTGTTTCATATAATTAAAGATATTCTTTCACGTATTCATGGTATTTCACGCAGATTAAAGCAGGTAATAAACGTATATTTGATAACGATGAAAACTGAAATACCATATGAAATACCGTATGAAATACCGTATGAAATACGTGCAAGTGAAGTAAATGTTGTAAGAATAAGTGTAAAACATGCAAAACCTCTTGAATATATCTACCGCCGCTGACCCTTGTGGTCTTGTCAGTAACCTCTGTCGAACGGTATCCTATGGGTTATGTAAGAAATATAGATATGGAAGCTGTTATCGTGTGGACATTGCCTGGTGTACATAACAGACTGTACAACAGTCTGACACCATATCTAACATAGTAAGCACGAAGTCACTATAAGCTTTCTCGTGGTAACGAGATCTTACACACATTTACAAAATGTATAGAAATTTTGTAAAATTGGAAGGATTAAATTCCATGCTAAAAAAATTCGTTGGTTGTGAAAAGAGTTAACTGGACCAGTAAGACAACCCGGGGAGACACACTGTACATGATAAATTATTTTTAGTATTTCATGGATCATTTTATAATGTATTGAGCGTAGCAATATTAAATCCCTCGCTACATTACTGCGTACAGGTCTTTCGTGGCGTTCCGGTGGTAGGACCGTATCTACCCCATCTGTGTTTTAATTGTTTTGAACACAAAGAAGTTTTTATTATTCATGGTTTTGATTAATGTCCATTCTTTTCATGGGAGACCAAGTATGTGTGTAGCGAGTGTGGTTATATTCAAATATAGTCAAATAATTATATATTACTATTACTATTTACTATTTATGTCGGCGGCATTGAATCGTTAAATTGACACAAATCTAAAGGTATGTTGCGAACTTCAAAAATAACACCAAACGCTTTAAATAAATGAAGAAGAGGACAATGTAAAACAGGTTAAGACAGATATAATCCTTGAATAGAATGAAACAAGGTATTTTGTTTTACGAGGAGCTCCCAGATGTGTTTGTTTGTTAGTTTGCAATAGCTAATGATCCAGGACTACAGTGTCCACTGATGGTTGGGCATGAGTCGCTTATTTTCCCCTCCACGAACGTTAAAATGTTACTATGCAAAGTTAAGAACCATTATCAGGGTTTCCAAAACATTTGTGTAGGTATGATGCTGACGATGTAGAAACGTTGACGACGGAGGCTCAGTGGATAGGACTGGTGTATTGGTCTTGTCTAAACGTTTCTAAATGGTTTAGTTTGAGGCTATGCTACTGATCTCCTTTTTACAACGGGGTAAGGAATTCCTTTACGTAGCAGAAGTTTAACTTTAACCTTTTAAAAACGTTTTTGGCATTAAACGTTTTGCAGTTGTTTGCGAAATTACACAACATTTATTCTATATTTTTACAGATATAGAAGATTTCATAGAAACTGGTAAAATTATTAAACGAGTTTACACGGAACAGTTTCTGATAAGTTAAAATGAAAATATCTAAGAAACCGTGTTCACTTTTTTCTGACCGTCAAATATTATAAACAAATCGTCAATGGTTCTTAACGTTGATGTTTAATTCAGATAAACGTGCACGGGTTGCAGTGGCGGATCCAGAGTTTTTTGGGGGGCTTTAGGAATCAGCCCCCCCCCCCTCACGATTTTCCTCAATTTCCCCCCACATGGTTTTATTTTGTTTAACGTCCTATGAACAACTAAAGTAACTCAAAGACCAGGAGATGGGACGTAAAATAATCTTAAAATACAGGTCTGTTTTGGTAACTCAATTGACTTTTTAACTACAATGTATGTTGTATCTATCCTTAATGACCCAAATAGCACTTTTAAAACCTCAACATCCATCCGGGCACGAGATAGGTGTATTGTCTGTTAGAGCCCATTACTGCTTACGATCAACATTGTATGAATGGAAAATGTC